TTAATAATAATTAAGACAAAATATCTAGCTCTCCTAGTAATTCACATCAGTAGATTTTAAAGCTCTTTACAAAAGAAGTCAGTATCGTTACCATTATTTCACAGGATGTGAAAAACTGAAGCATAGACAGGGGAAATGACTTGCGTAAGGTCATCCAGCAATTCAGTGGCAGTGCCAAGAAGAGAATCCATCTCTCCCAAATTTCAGTCCAGTGCTCTATTGACAAAGCCACAGACAAGTGACTTACTGGTTATATGCCTCAGTTTTCCCACCTGTAAAATACAGATACCTTTTTTGCTTTTTGCTTCTCAGGTGACAGGCACTTGCTAAATGAAACAATTAGAATGTTATATTATCTGCTCAGGAGAGGAGCAAAAACTACTGGGTGAACAATAATACTGGGAGTTAAGAGTTTGCAGTACTGCTGCCAGCTCTTCCACTGACTTGTTGGGTGACCTGGGACAAGCCACTTGAATGTCTCCATGCTTCAGTTCCCTCCTCTATAGAATGGGGATAATAAGATGCATCTTGCAGGAGTGTTGTAAGGCTTAATTAGTGGGTGGAAAATACTTGAGCTCCTGGGAAGGAAGATGTGATGGAAGTGTAAACTATTAATTATCATTGCAAAGACTTTGTATATGGGCTTGTGCTCTGCCACATTTGTTTACTCTTTCACTCACTGCAGGGAATTTTCTTTACATTACTGTAGATGGTTTACTGCATTTCCTCAGTATATTGTGCCTTAATGTAATGTATTGACAGTATCTCACCCTTACAAACATATGAGTTTACTGTCTTCTCCCTTAACTCCTCAACCCTTGAGGCAATGTAAATTCCCGTATTTTCCTTAGAAGCAACACATCACCGTGTTCTTTAATCCTGCCCTTTGCACAATTGCTGCATCTGAGTAGTACCCCAAGAACCTTCAGAGCATATCCTGATATTGTAGCCAGGCTGGCAGCTGGGGAGGGGCCAAGTTCATCTGAGTGGTGACAAATGGTAACTCCCCACTACCATATCATCCACTGTGCCCTTGATCAGCCTAAATAAAAGACCAAGTGCAAGTGCAAAGTTAGCTCACTGTTGCAAAGGCTCCAGTATAGACAGCTGGCATTGGGAAATAGCATGCTGGGGGAGGAATCATCATCAGAGCTCTTCATTAAAAGCTTCCCCCTCGCCCCCCAATTTGAACTAATTTGTAAGCAGGATACTACTGCTGTGAATAAAGTAAAGCAGAAGATTCTCCTTTCTCACACATTCTATCTGGAGCATTTGTGTGCCCTCTTCTGGGCATCCTCAGTGTCTGCACCTCTGTTTATTTGGTCATACCTTCTGAGAGGGAATTGGGTCAGTGGATGGCACTCTTGGTCCTTCGGCCTTTTGTATTATCCCCCAGGTCTCAGAGCAAGGAGTGGCCACAGACCAGGGTGAAACACATTTTGAGAACTATGAATTCATTGAATTATGTTCCAAATAAGGGAGCACAACACTAAACCTCTGGCTTACATGGTAGGAATTAAGACTGAAAGGACCAGATCCAAAGTGCTCATAAGGGCCACAGCAGCAGCTTGTGATCTGTTATCGTCACCTGAGCAGAGATTTCAGTGTCAACATATGTCTGAGTTCTAGATGTATATATGCCACTGAGGGCACATGTACATTTAAAAAAATGTGCTAGTGTGGTGGCAGCAGTGCAAATAACTGCTGTAAATATGCTGAAAAAGGGTAAATAGACTGGAATTGCGCCAACACAGCTTACTCCATTCTGAGAATTAAACTGGGAAATATATTTGACTCAAGCCCTGTATTTTGCGGTTCCCCTGGAAATCCAGCCTGACAACCATCATCCTATTTGAAACTCTGCTTTAGATTAATTTGAATAAATTGGAAGTGACTACCAAATGCCTTCTCTAATGCAAATCCCCACTTGCTCTTGCTCCATTATTAAATCAAATATGGAAACGATATGAAATAAACATATTTAGAAACAAGAATTAAAATGAAGAGTTGGAAGAGAGTATCTCAGATGCAAAGCACAGCTATTCACAGGAAATACTGATTATGCACTACATACTTTTAAATTGAGTTCATTATATTTTAAAACTTAAAGTAAAAAAAATCAGACATTTGTCAGAAAGTACAGACTTTCAGGAAACTGTCTTCTGCATCTGACCCAGGAAGATAAAAATTTCTTTCCACACTAGAATCAAATCTTGATACAAGTTTTGAGGATGTCTCATGTGAATGTAGAGTTTAATCCTTAAATAACGTTTTGAGAAACCCTCTCTTGGATACTGGGAAAGGAAAAAACGGTAATTTTGGGACCAAACCTGCAAGCTGATGAGCACCTTCTGTTTCCAATGGAGAAAAGTTATAGGGTGATCAGCACCTCAGAACACCAGGCCATTGGTTGGCTGGTACTAGACACTCCAGTTTTCCATTTGTACCACTTCTTATACAGATGAAAGATAATGAAAACCAAATCAGAACAGGTTCTTCCAATCCCAAAGGAAACCAAGGCCAAGGCACGCCAGACCCGGCTCTGCCCCTGGTGGCCAGGGAAGGCTGAGTCCGAGGTGCACCTGGCCTGGCTCTGGCTGCTTTTTACCAGGCCCAGCTCTGCCCCTGGCATCTAGGGAAGGTCAGGCCAAGGTTGTGGTGCACCAGGCCCAAATCTGCCCCCAGTGGCTGGGGAGGACTGAGGCCGCAGTGCGCCAGCCACAGCTCTGCCCCTGGTGACGGAGGAGGGCTAGGCTGAGACTGTGGCATGCTAGGCTCAGCTCTGCCTCCTGCAGCCAGGGAGGTCTGAGGCTGCAGTGCACCAGCCCTGGCTCTGCCTGCAGGGGGAAGGCCATGGCTCACCAGTCGCCCCTGTCCACATGGCCGCCAGAGAGAGCTGGGCTCCAGCAATGGGGCTCAGGCAGAAGGGGCAGGGTTGGGGGCTGCACTTTCCCTGCTCATGAAAACCCCTCTAGCTTGTGGACTCATTGTGATGTGATGATGTTGTGAAGACTAGGACTTTAACAGAGTTAAAAAAAGAGCTAGATAAGTTCATGGAGGTTAGGTCCATCAATGGCTATTAGCTAGGATGGGTAGGAATGGTGTCCTTAGCTGTGGCGGCGCGTCATGGTCCCCCACCTCCTGCACCCCCGTAGTGGCCCGAACAGACTCCACCAGCCAGTAGAATAGAGGGAGATTATTGCTTCTCCAGAATACAGCACAGCACAGATGTAATCTGGTTACAGGAACTGGGGGTAGGAGGCCTCAGTGCCCCCCCTTGAGACGGGGGGGTGGCTGAGCCCTACAATCCCAGCCCCCTCCCTAGCTCCTTCTCCCCTGCTTCCCAGACGGAAACTAAAAACCATCCCTTCCAGCCCTGCCCCCCAGCCAGGGGCTGCATTCCACCTTCCTTTGTTCCTCTCCCTGGGGGGTAACTGGTAGAACAAGTTACCTCCCTGTCTCATCAGCTACTCGGCTGGGCCATGGTACAGACAGCAGCCAGTGGGGGTCATACACAGCACAAGCCTAGCAACCAGCAAGGTACCCACCCTATGTCACACTAGCCTCCGATTGTCTGGAAATGTACGATAGGAGAGGGACCATGTGATGATTACCTGTTGTGTTCACTCCCTCTGGGGCATCTGAAATTGGCCACTGTCAGCAGACAGGATACTGGGCTAGAAGGGCCTTTGGTCTGACCCTATACAGATAGTCCCCGACTTATGAACGAGTTACATACCAAACACTTGGTCGTAACTCGATCTGTTTGTAGGTCAGACTCCATTCATTTAAATGTGACAGCGCTGTTCATAAGGGCGGAACGCGCGTTCATAACTCAGGGACTGACTGTAATGCGCTTAATGGGAGGTTGGTCGTAAGGACGAACGGTCGTAAGTCGATGCGTTCATAACTCGCGGGCCACCTGTTTGGCCATTCTTATGTGATAATGTCACTCTGTCGTCCCACAGGAAATTTTTTTTTACATATATAGAGAAAAAAATGGCAGGACAAGAAGCAATGGGCTTAAATTGTAGTAAGGGAGGTTTAGTTTGGACATTAGTAAAACCTTCCTAAATGTCAGGGTAGTTAAACACTGGAAGAACTTACCTAGGGAGCTTGTGGAATCTCCATCAATGGAGATATTTAAGAGCAAGTTAGAAGAACATATATCAGGGATGATCTAGATCAGGGCTACTCAACATGTGGCTCACAGGCTGCATGTGGCTCGTGGCCAGTTTGTTTGCGGCCTGCTGTGTGGTTTGGGTTTACACTGGGCTTAACATGCGGCCCATGTGTGGGAGCCAAAACAAAAAAGTAGTCAATTAATGGTCTGCTGTTGATATGCGTTTTAGTAGTTAAATTCTTGGACTGTCATTGCTCATTAAACGTGCTGTCTTATGGGTGGAAATCAGGTAAATATTGCATTTTATTAATATCAGCAGAACTGACTTAAATGGAGCCTGTGTGTTGTGTAGTCTTGCCTTAATCTTTGTATTCATGCCCGTCAGTGTGAAAGAAGCTATTTGCATATATATCTGTATGTATATGCAACCACGCTTAAGTTGCGGCCCTTGGCATCATTGTGGCCACCGGGGCTTCCAAAGTTGAGTAGCCCTTATCTAGATGGTGCTTGGTCCTGCCATAAGGGCAAGGGACTGGACTTGATGACCTCTTAAGGTCCCTTCTAGTTCTTGTACTTTACTATTCTATGATCTCAATAATAATGTGGACAAGATTACATATTTTTTCAAAAATACTGAAAATGTGCTTCAAGTGTTGTTTTTTAAAATACATAATTAAAATGAGCTTTAAAAGCTGAACTGCATTTGCATGGCCCAATTAAAGTATCCTGAAATTCTTCTTCAAACATGCCTTTCAGCAGATTTTGAGGAACCTGCAGTTCATTTCATGGATAGTGTTCATACACAATGCTGTTTTATTTAAAATGTAAATAATTCCAGAAGAAGTTATTGTCTTAAAGTAAATCCAAGATGGAAAAATAACCCTTTGAAAAGGTGTTTTATTCATATACAAGTTCGTTAAAATGATTTGCATACAACAAGAGGAAAAGTCGAAGAAAATATATTAATTAGTATGAAAAATAAAAAAATCATATACACTGAAGTCTAAAGGGAGCTGAAGTGTGCTGTATGCATCACAATAGGACAAGTAAATACTATACTTGTGGATTAGACATTAGTTTTCTTCTCAAGGGATGGATTTCTGTTAATTTCATGTAAGGTCTTGACAGAATGTCTTTCATCTTTGCCTGGTAAAGCCTCTCTGCTGCTAGCCCTGATTCATATTCTCGCTGCTTTTCTTCTTCCTCAGCAATATGGACCTGCTGCTGATGGGTAATCTGAGCCTGCAGCTGCTCCCGATATTCCTTTGCCTCCTTCATTCGTCTGCAAATGACATAACAGATGTCTCATTTGGAAGTTAAAGATAAAGAAAATTAACAGCTCAGATTTCTTGAGGCATCTCTGATCAATCTTACATGAAATACTGCTTAAAACTACAAATCGTTATTATTAATGACTGTTCTATACAATAACCACTACAATTTAATAAACTGTAAACTCTTTGGGGCACAAACTTTCTTTACTGTGGCATATAAATGACAGAGTATGTCAGTGCTTAACACAACAATTATGAAAAATCATTAATCAAATGACAAGTTTTATGCCTTCCTCCCACAATCTGCATAACTCTTGATCTGTTATTATGGTGAGGAAACGACAGAAGATTATGCAAATATACTTGAATATTAGATCAAGATCTTTATCTATGTACGACTCATGCCTGTAGCACCTTAATACCCAATTTTCCTTCTCTTGTTTTGAAGATAACTATTATTATGCACTAAGGAACCCAGGAAACTACTGTACAGACCAGTCAGCTTAACTTCTGTGCCAGGAAAGACAATGGAGGAAATACTTAAGGAATTAATCTGCAAGAACCTGGAAGATAACAACGTGACAGGTAACAGCCAGCATGGATTTGTAAAGAATAAATCATGTCAAACCATTCTGATAGCTTTCATTTATAGAATATCGAGCCTTGTAGAAAGGGAGAAGTGGTGGACATGGTATACCTAGAATTTGGTAAAGCATTTGATATGATCTCGCATGACCTTCTAATCAATAAACTAGGGAAATACAACCTAGATGAGGCTACTGTAAGGTGGGTCTTAAGTGGCTGAAAACCATTCTCAGGGTATGTCTACACTACCCTCCTAGTTCGAAATAGGAGGGTAATGTAGGCATACCGCACTTGCAAATGAAGCCTGGGATTTGAATTTCCCGGGCTTCATTTGCATAAACTGGGCGCCTCCATTTTTAAATCCCTGCTCGTTTGAACCCCATGCCGCGCGGCTACACACGGCACGAACTAGGTAGTTCGGACTAGGTTTCCTAGTCCGAACTACCGTTACTCCTCGTGGAATGAGGAGTGCTAAGTGTAGACATACCCATGCTACTCGTTGTTCTTAAAGTTACAAACTAACATGGCTACCCCTCTGAGACTCCTCAAAACCAGTGTATTAGTGAGATTCTGTGTGAGCCATGTAGTAAGACTGCTTCTTGACACTTTGCAGCCATGTGCAGCACATCTACTCTAAGTGATATGGCCAGCATTTCTTCTGCCACAGAGTGACTGCCACCAAACCGAATAGATGGTCTGAAAACGTTTCCGTTAATCGTAAAGCTGTTGCTGAAACATCATGGAAGGAAACAGACAGTGGCTCTCGAAGAGGATACTCAATTAATAAGCATGAGTGGGCAATATATGCACAAGGAATCCAGTGGATGAAACAATGTGTATAGTAAAATGAAACTGTAAAAGAAGGCCTGTGAACATGACATGCAGAACAGATGTACTTCAGACAGTGCTAAAATACCAGTGTTCTTTCCTCAGGTGATTATGAGCAAGTGAGAGTATGTTCTGATGGTATGGTGTTGTGTTTCAATGTCTGAATGCATTGTCAGTCAAAATTCTTCAAGGATGGACAGTTTTGGAATAAACCAAAACTTTCCAACTCCTATGCTTGTGTAGTTGAATTCTCTCTAAAGGCTCAGCTAAGGTTACAATCCTTAATAACTTTCATTAACATGATTTAAGGTATATACATCTTAAGTATATACCCATAAGCTATGACTTACTAAAAACAATCAGTAAGCCCCGGACAATTACACTGGGTGGAATATAACTGTGTATGCACAATCAGGTTTGGGTGGTTGTGTAATACCAGTTTCAGTATAATATGGCTACTATTGTGTAGTTTGCAAGACCAAATTGGCTACACAGTATAGCACCTGAAGATAAAATGTGTGCAGAATATAGCCCATTGCTATTATGCTGCTAGTTCAAAATGAGAATTATTCATTTCTGAAAAAACAACAAGCAGTCTTGTGGCACCTTAGAAACTAACACATTTATTACATCATGAGCTTTCCTGGTAACACAGATAAACTCATGAGGGAACATTTTAACCTCCCTGAACATTCAATAATGGATTTAAAAGTAGCCATCCTCTACAAAAGAATTTTATCGCCCAATTACAGAGGAAGACTGTTGATCTGGAGTTCATTTACAAGTTCAGTACTATCAACTTACACTTGAATAAAGATCTTAACTAGTTAATGCACTATAAAGGCAATTTTCTCTCCTTTGATACTTGTATCTCCCTAACAAAATACACCCTCAGACACATACACCCTGACTTTATTAGCTTCATTAACACTAGTCCTACAATTGACAAGTAACTTCTTTTGCTGTTATACACCCCAAATTCTGTAATTTCCACTCCAATTCATCTGACAAAGTGGGTTTTACCTAAAAAAGCTCATGACCTAATAAATTTGTTAGTCTCTAAGGGTATGTCTAGACTACATGGCTCCATTGACGGAATTTACTAGAGTTTACTAGACATAGGAAAATGAAGTGGCAATTTAAATAATCGCTGCTTCATTTACATAAAAATGGCCACCACGCTGTGCCGATCAGCTGTTTGGTGGCACAGAGGGGCAGTCTGGACGTGCAGCGGTCAACAAGGGAAGCCTTTGTCGACCGCTCCGGTATGCCTCATGAAATGAGGTTTACTGGAGTGGTCGACAAAGGCTTCCCTTGTTGACCGCGGCACGTCCAGACTGACCCATTGTGCCACCAAACAGCTGATCAGCACAGTGCAGCGGCCATTTTGATGTAAATGAAGCGACGATTATTTAAATCACCGCTTCATTTTCCTATGTCTAGTAAACTCATCTACATGGCTCCGTCGATGGAGCCATGTAGTCTAGACATAAACTAAGATGCTACAGGACTGCTTGTTGTTTTTACTGTTTGTTACAGAATAACATGCCTATCCCTGTAAGTAAATTCTAAACAGTTTAAGACCCAACTTGATTACAAAATTTATTGACATCATAAGGAAAAAATACCTTAAATATTTTTCTTCTTCTATACAATCGAGCTCCTTAATGGCTTCAGCTAATAATTCCTTGTCCTGAACAAGTTCTTCCTGCTGCTTTGCATTTCTCTCCACTGCAAAAGGAAAAATAAATGCACTGCTAACCTTAGAAGGATGTAAACTTAAACTCAAATAGCTCATTCTACATGGCACACTTGCTGCTTCTGGAAAGGCACAAAAGCAATAGGAGAGATGTTTCTGGTATTTTTTCACCCACATCAGTCACTAAGAAAAGAGGATTTCACATACACAACTTAAGAATGTTCTGAAATCAGGCCTCACCCCTACAATTTTTACTTGATTAGCCTTTGTTCCACTGGTGTCCCAGGGATAACTAGTATGAGTAAAGACTGTTTATGAGAGTAAGGCTGTAGGATTGGGCCCTAATGCAATAGCAGTGTGTCTTATCTATTGTAAAAGTGTCTATGCAGTGTGTGCCCAATTCCTTTTTGTGTCTGCCCTGCCCCATATCAGTGTCCCCCATTCGTTCCCCACATGCAGTTGGGACCAAGTTCTGCTTTCAGGAAAACCATGTACCATATCAGCTAACTATGACAAGATTTGCATTCACTTTACCAAAGGCAGTACTTGCCCCACAGACTAACAATGCTGCAATTTCTTACACTTCTCCTCAATCTGCAGTCGTCTTGTATCCAGGACGTCTTTCATCAGCCGTTTCCTAGCTTCCTTTTCTAGTCTCATTTGCTCAGCCTTTTTGGCCCAAGACTTCTCCATTTCTTCCTCCAACAACTTGTCCATTTCTTTCTCTCTGCGCTTCTCCTCTTCCAGTTGTTGAGCCAGGTATTCCCGATACATCTGCTGCTCCTTGAACAGTTCTTGCTACAAAACATGGACAGTACAGAGACTTTGAATGAACTAGTTCAAAAAGGCATTTCAAAAGCCATTTTATTCATGGAAAGGAGTGTCTCGTGGTGGACACGGAAAAAGACTGGGAGCATGCTTAGGTTGCGTCTGAGTGCGAACCTCCAAGTTTGGTCCACAGAGTTGAGAAAATACCTAAAAGCTAGTGCACAGACATTGTGGCTCTGACTGGAGTTGGGGTTTTCAAGCCACTCTGCCCTAGACCCCAATTTGCCTATCTCCTAGAACTGGAAGGGACCTTCAAAGGTCATTGAGTCCAGTCCCCTGCCTTTACAGCAGGACCAAGTACCATCCCTGACAAATTTTTGCTCCAAATGGCCTTCTCAAGGATTGAACTCACAACCCTGGGTTTAAGCAAGCCAATGCTCAAACCAATCTGCCAGCTGAAGCTGCAATGTCTACCCAGCTGATTTTAGTGCACTTGCACAAATCTGTGGATCAGGGCTGGGAGGCTTGCTTCCAGATGCAGCATATACATGACTCTGACTTCTGAACTCAGACACATCTCACTGTCACTTACTCACTTTGTGCAGAAATATACTCATTTGCAAGCACATCCTTGGGAAATGCTTTGAGAGCCTTGGATGAGGAGTACTGTCACCCTGATTCTCCTGTCAATGGTGCCAGTTCTATGTTGGTCATTTCACTGAGTTATACTGGATTTACACTGATGTAAGAAAAGAATCACACACTAGCACTGAAAAGTATTATGACTAGAGAGTTAAGCATTTTATAGCACCTGCAGGATGAGCCCATTGTACACAGTAGAAGCTATCTGCTTCCCTGTACAGCCTGCATAAGCTCCCAGTGTGCTATCCTGCCTCTATTTTAGGGACTCCTTGCAAATCTCCACCCCTCCATCATGCCAGGGCTTCTGCGTGCCCTACACTCCTTCCTTCCCCCATCCAAAGGCTCTCTATTCTTCCATGCTAAGGGCTCTGTTAGCTGCTCCTTTGCCCCATGGCAGAGGCTCTGTGTCCACCTCTGGTTTCACTTTCCCTCATATGATTGTTTACTTATAAGCAGAGTAAACAATGAAGTTCCTTTGTCTGCTTTAAAGCTAACCTGCAAACTATTAGTTTCCTGAGGATGGTGAATCCTTATTTGTTTTTAATTTAAAAAATAATGAATGGGGATATTTTTAGGAAACAGGGATGTTTATTATGAGCTCAAACATCTTAGCTGAAGGGTACAGATGTTGAACTTTAACAAAAGCAATCTTGCAGCACCAGGAAAGGAAACTGGACATAAACAGTTTAGTTTCAAACAGCCTGATTAAAAACAAGACTTGACTTTCTTAATAAAAAGCAAGGATTCTCTCCCCCCTTTTTTTGGGGGGGAGGGAATACTTCAGGATATTTTTATAAATTATTTTAAAAAAATCACAAAAGCGTAATGTAAGACTGAACCTTACATGCTAATGAAGTTGCAGAAGAGACAGACAAATCTGGATTCAAGTCAAGTTGTACCATTTAAAATATTTCAATTGTAAATTTAAACTACACATATCTAGCTAATAATATTTTAATACATTTCAGTTCAGCTTAAATAAGATTTATTTTTTCTCTGCAGTTACAAATATCAAGTCAACATCCATGAAACTGCAGAAAGCTTAACATTTGGCTTTCTAACCTATATTCCCAGCCACGTTGTGGAAAACCACACAGTGGAAGAGCATGTGGGTCGACCAGATTAGATTCTGTGATCCTCTTCGCTTCTAGTCCTTTGCGCTCTAGACCTGTAATTGGTCAAATGCAAACCTAGCTCATCGTATTATTTTTTACATGTTTCCCTCTGCTTTTAACATTACAACAGGTTCCTTTAGAAAAGTAGATCACAGGCAAGAAGAGATGAAATATGCAGTCCAAGACCTTAATAAAATATAAAAAAATTTCCAACCAAAAAATTAGCTTATAAATATAATAGGGCTTGAGTCCAATCTTATATTTATTTAACTTCACTGTGTTCAATGGAATTAGTCCAGATCTGAAAAATCAAACATTGTCCCACAATTTGAAAATAATCAAATGCCCTTTGCCCTTACTTTTCTTTGCTTTTTCCCTTCTGTGTCTTCCTGGGATTCATGCAAAAGTCGTTCTAAGATCTTCATGTCTAGAGCAAGTTCCTCTTGTTTTTCCCGATTAAGACGCTTCATCTTTGCCTGAGCAGAGTTGACCAATATGTCCCTGTGTTTCTTCTGTTTCTGCAATTTCTCCATCTGAACTCGCTCATCTTCTAGTTTTAACAGCTTTTTTTCCTCTTCCTGCAATAATAAAAAAAGAGTAGCCAACTTGCAAGATCACTGTATAGCTTCAAAAGAAAATGATGGCTGGTATTAGTTTAATTGGAACATATATGAGGGAAGTTAAATATTGAAGATTTTGCTTGCTGATGCTAGGGGATTTCAGATTTACTACTGTCATCTAATACAGTTATTAAAGTGTGAACATTTTAGCATATTCTTCATTAAAATTCCCAATTTTCTTTCTAATTATCATGTATGTTTCTTTGCCAAGTTACTGGGGAGATTGGCACTCTCTACATACTGTTCCTTAGGAAGGAACAATCAGTTTTATACATACAGAATGGGAAGCGACTGTCTGGGAAGAAGTATGGCAGAAAGGGATCTAGGGGTTATAGTGGACCACAAGTTGAATATGAGTCAGCAGTGTGATGCTGTTGCAAAGAAAGCAAACATGATTATGGGATGCATTAACTGGTGTGTTGTGAGCAAGACACGAGACGTCATTCTTCTGCTCTACTCTGCGTTGGTTAGGCCTCAGTTGGAGTATTGTGTCCAGTTTTGGGCACCGCATTTCAAAAAAGATGTGGAAAAATTGAAGAGGGTCCAGAGAAGACCAACAAGAATGATTAAAGGTCTATAGAACATGACCTATGAGGGAAGACTGAAGGAATTGGGTTTGTTTAGTTTAGAAAAGAGAAGATTGAGGGGGGACATGATAGCAGTTTTCAGATATCTAAAAGGGTGTCATCAGGAGGAGGGAGAAAACTTGTTCATCTTGGCCTCTGAGGATAGAACAAGAAGCAATGGGCTTAAACTGCAGCAAGGGAGGTTTAGGTTGGACATTAGGAAAAAGTTCCTAACTGTCAGGGCGGTTAAACACTGGAATAAATTGCCTATGGGGGTTGTTGAGTCTCCAGCACTGGAAATATTTAAGAGTAGGTTAGATAAATGTCTATCAGGGATGGTCTAGACAGTATTTGGTCCTGCCATGAGGGCAGGGGACTGGACTCGATGACCTCTCGAGGTCCCTTCCTGTCCTAGTATTCTATGATTCTATGATGGATAAGAATGTTAAAATGAGATTATCTGGCTAATCGTATAGTTGATACAATCTGTATATGATTAGTCAATAAGCGCTGCTGTGCAGAGCCGCAGTGGAGGTAGCTCTGGAAGGCGGCTCCGGAACCACCTGAGCTGCTGCTCTGCATTTTAAATCTGATAAGAGCCACTGGGCCCTTACTACATTTAAAATGCAGAAGTGCAGTGATCAGTGTGAGCCGGGACTGCTCGATCCCAGCTCGTGCTGAATCCAGCAGCCCCTGTTCATGGGAGATAGGGGCTGGTGTCGGACAGCTTTAAATACCCTTTATGATTTCTAATATGTATCTATCATTATCGGGTGCTCAGTATTTGTATTACAGCATTGATTTAGGCCACACCCAGGTTCCCAGTGCTAAATGCCGTAGAAATATTGGCTATTTTCAAACCAATGTGATAGAGCTGGACACTCAAATTCCATTTTTCTTTGACAATTATGGCCATACATTAGTAGACAGTCCCTTCCACAAAGCTAGGCTATAAGCATTTTTGCAACTGAAAACCAAACATAAAAATGTTCTATTCACTCCAGGATCAATTTTCAACCACAGCCAGCACAATCAGACTAAAATGACTTTTCCTTCAACTGGTTTCACCAGAACATTGTTATTAAAACAGGTAAGCTTTGTAGCCTGCCTTTAAAATTAGCAGAAGATTCGAGTAAGGTTAACACTAATTTAAATACCCCTACGAGGTAAACCTTTAATTACAACCCTGTATTGAAAACTATTATCAAATTACCAATAATTGAGCCTCTTCTTCTTTCAGTCGCTTTGCCTCCTCTTTTTGAGCATCCAGTGCAGCTATCTGGGCATTCAGCACATTCACCATTTCCTGATTCTGTTCAGATTTTCTCTGAAAGTCCTCTATGCCTCGTTTTTCCTTGGCCAATCGGTCCTGTTCCCAAAGCTCTGCAAATATCTGTTCCTCCCTCTCCTCTTGCTTCTTCAATTCTTCTTTAAGGGCCAGTTGGGCCAGTCTGTCTGAACACACCTCCTCCTGATGTCTCTGACTCCACTGTAAACGAACCTCTGCACACTGTTCTCTGTACATGTACATAAAGAAAAAAAGTTGTAAGATGATAAGGAAAATAGTTTGGTGCCTTTGATGGAGATGGACTCAGGGTCTAATGATCTAAGCATAAAACACAGCCAGGAATTGCTGAATTGTAAAACTTGTTCTAACACCAACTCTTGCTAAGGCCTAGGAAAGTCACTAACAGCCTCATCTTTGCACTGGTCAAGTCTATAGGAATTTTTCCATTAATGGGAACAGGAGCAAGTTCTTAAGATACATCCCTCAGTTTACCCATCTGTAAAAGAGACATAAATAAATATACACATTCCAACTTTATGGCTCAACATTTGCTAATAATTCTGAAGCCAAATTATATTCAGAAACTGATCAACACTGCTGGAATCTTTATTACACTGTTTGGTAAAAACATACCAGATTTTAGTAACAGCTGATTAAATACATTAAATAAATTTTGCAGAACTATGTATGCAAATGGCACAAACATCCATGGATAGATATTAATGATCATTCAACAAACAAGCAATGCATCTGTTTAATGATATGACATCTGTAATACAATTTTAGCTTTCATTTAGTCACAGCAACTGAGTTATATTAAATGAATATTTAATCTTCAATTTAAGAGAGAAAATGGATGTTTCAAGAGCACTTCAGCTTCAATTTTTATAAGTGAACTCCAATTAAAATCAGTATATTCTATCAATCTAAATTTAGGGTAAACAATATGCAAGCATTTTAATTCACTCAGTAAAATTGTACATTTTCATTGTTCACCATCAACTTAAAGTAAAACAAAAGAGGGGGAGAGGTAACAGATAATGGTGAATATCTATCAGTATTAAGAATTATCATCCTGAAGAGCATGTATGCATGTTATTTAACTAAAAATATCCCATATTATTTAATGCTCATAGCATACCATCTTCCGCAGATTATTGCAGTGCTTAATTAAGAATTAATTGTGACTATCTATATAAATAGATCATTTACTGTATTTCAGGAAAGACTTTATGAAAACTCACTGACAGTTATTTGTATAATGTATAATAATTATTATTGTGTACATTATTTCATTTGATAATTTTCTATAGCAAAAATTAGTAAATATTCAAACAACTATCTTCTAGTATTGCAGTTCCCAGGATCATAAATATAACTGTCATAACTTCAGTAATGAAACAAATGCCAAAGAAATCACATTATTTACAATTTTTTCTCACCTAAAAAGATAAAATTTAATTTTTTTTTTTGTCAGCCCTGAAAGTGAAACTAACAGATTTGGATGCTGATACTGAGAACTTGTCCATACTGAACATTGGCCCACTAAAAGCAGAAGCTATGTCGAGGGAATAATGTCTCCTGCTAACAGTGTTAGTTTTGACTGCACATTGGTCGCTGTAACTTGTACTGCTTGTGCATGGGAGGGGGATCTTTTCCATATATCTCAACAACATACATTAGATTTGAGATACGCAGTAGTATGGACCTGCCCTAAGCTTCACAGATCCCAGGTTCAATCATTCCTACTGATGACTGGGTCTATCAGCATTACACCTGTCCTCGGAGGATCAGAGTTCATAGAATCACAGGACTGGAAGAGATTACAAGAGCTCTAGTCCAGTCCCCTGTCCTCATGACTACACTAAATATTAGCTAGACCAGACCCTCCCTGACCAGCAGTTGTCTAACTTTCTCTTAAAAATCTCCAGTGATGGGGATTCCACAATCTCCCTGAGCAATTTATTTCAGTGCTCAACTACAAGACAGTTAGGAAGTTTTTCCTAATGTCCCACTTAAATCTTGTTTGCTGCAATATAAGACCATTACTTCTTGCCCTGTCTTCAGAGATGAAGGAGAATAATTTTTCCCTCCTCCTTACAGAAACCTTTTATGAATTTAAAAACCGTTACCAGGTCCATCTCAGTCTTATCTTCTCTAGACTAAAGACACCTGATTTTTATCTTCTCGTATAGCTCATGTTTTCTAGGCCTTTAACCATTTTTGTTGCTCTTCTCTGGACCTTCTCCCATTTGTCCACATCTTTCCTGAAATGTGGTGCCCAGAACTGGACACAGTATTACAGTTCAGGCCTAATCAGAGCAGAGTAGAGTGGGAGAATTATTTCTGTCTTGCTTACATCTGAAAGATTGGTATTTTGTTTTGTTTTTGCTACTTGGTTACACAGTTGACTCTCATTTAGCTTGTGATCCACTGTTTGTCAAAGGCTGGAGAAGGATGGCAGGAAACAAATTGCTTGATCATTGTCTTCGGTCCACCCCCTCTGGGGCACCTGGTACTGGCCACTGTCAGTAGACAGAATACTGGGATAGATGGACCTTTGGTCTGACCCAGACAAAAAGCCCTAGATCTTTCTGCAGTACTGCTTCCTAGGCAGTTGATACAAAGCTGGGAGGTGCTGCAACTGCTTTGGAGGATAGGATCATAATTCAAAATGATCTGGACAACCTGGAAAAATGATCTCACGTAAATAGGATGAAGTTTAATGAGGACAAATGCAAAGTGCTCCACTTAGGAAAAAACAATCAGTTTCACACATGTAGAATGGGAAGCGACTGTCTAAGAAGCAGTATTGCAGAAAGGGATTTAGGGGTCACAGTGGACCATAAGCTAAATATGAGTCAACTGTGTGATGCTGTTGCAAAAAAAGCAAACATGATTCTGGGATGCATTTACAGGAGTGCTGTGAGCAAGACACGAGAAGTCATTCTTCCACTCTACTATGCGCTGATTAGGCCTCAGTTGGAATACTGTGTCCAGTTTTAGGCACCACATTTCAAGAAGGATGTGGAGAAATTGGAGAAGGTCCAGGGAAGTGCAACAAGAATGATTAAAGGTCTAGAGAACATGACTTATGAAGGAAAACTGAAAGAATTGGACTTTAGTTTGGAAAGGAAAAAACTGAGAGGGTACATGATAGCAGTTTTCAGGAATCTAAAAGGGGTGTCACAAGGAGGAGGGAGAAAAATTGTTCTCCTTGGCCTCTGAGGATAGGACAAGAAGCAATGGGCTTAAACTGCAGCAAGGGAGGTTTAGGTTGGACTAGGAAAAACTTCCTAACTGTCAGGGTAGTTAAACACGGGAATAAGTTGCCCAGGGAGGTTGTGGAATCTCCATCTCTGGAGATATTTAAAAGCAGGTTGGTTAGACATTTTTGGGGGTGGTCCTGCCATGAGGGCAGGGGACTAGACTCAATGACCTATCGAGGTTTCTTCCAGTTCTATGATTCTATATTGAACAGAACTGGATGCAGAACTGATCCCTCTGGGAGCCCATTCATTATGCCTTCCAGCCTAATGTGAACCACTGATAACTACTCTCCAGGAAGGGTTTTCAAACCTTTTATGCACCCACCATAAAGTAGTTCCATTTAGATTATATAAAGTCTAAATATACAACATTTACCACTTTTACCACACACACACACACACACACACACACACAGCTTGTTACCCTGTCAATGAAAGCTATAAGGCTGATTTGACTTATTTTATTATCTTCTAGGTGTTTGGAAATTGTTTAATTATTTGCTCCATCATTATGACCCAATGTAAAGAGGAATGTGTCTCAAGATGAAGCTGCTTTCTTTTAGCTCTGGAGGCCCTGGGTTCAATCCCTTCTGTACCAACTAAGATGACAGCTGTCACACAGGAAATTGATCATACATGCTGTTAAGCATCACTGTTTCACATTGTAGGGTTTTTGGCGGCAACATTTTTAATTACAGAGTTAGCACGAATGGCTTGGAGGGAAGAAATGAGTTTTAAAGATGGAACATGTGGTGCACAGGAATGTGGACTGAAGTTCCATATGCAGAAGGCAGCATGGAAGAAAGCAAGACGATGAGGATGGGAGAACAATCTACAAAGAGTGGTGAGGTATCTTAAGTATTAGGGAAAACTGATAAACTCTCATGTAAGCCAGCAAAACTGGGAATCTTACATATGTACGCTGAGTATTCCATAAGCTATTGATAACTATCTACATGACATTACAGATGATAAATGAAAAGCATAGACATTTGATGCATCACAGTAACATGAGTTTAAGAGCTTGGACAGGATTGGACAAGTAAAGCTTTTAGATATTGCAAGCCTGGCTGCCTACACTGAAGTTGCTTTGTGATGGCACTTGAAGTTAGCAGCAGCGCTCAAGATTTTTCTAGCTAGTTGGATGTTTTGGTGAACATACTTTACAACCATTTCAGTCCGGTTGCTTTTTTTTCCCCATAAGTATTTTTTTTCTTTTCATAGCGCATAGGATGGCTTGTGGGTCAGGTGACAGGAGAGTGAACAAGATGCACATTTTATGATTATGCAGGGTTTCTGATGAGTAATAATGAAGAAGTACCTGCTGATAGATCATTTTGAGTAGCTCGTATAATATCCAGCTCTGTGAAGTAAAATTACATCTCCTTTTCAAAGGAAAATATTGGGTTTTAGACATTTAAATTGTAATTTAAAAAGGATCACACAGTTGGCATAGAAACATGCAAAAAACCCATCACATGGTTTATTTTATAACCTGACTTTTTTTAAATAAAAATCCACAAACACAGTGGACAGTGTTCATTTATCTCTAGCACTCCAATTGATATACCTGCCTTAATACAGCTAACATGCCATCATCTGCTACTATATGTTGGACTTCCCTGGTCTGACAGCTTTGGGACCTGACTGGTCCCGAACGAGGGGGTTTGCTCGACCATGGCAAGTCCCTTCCTTTCGTGGCCCATGCTTACCCCCTTCCTCCAGCCTAGGGCTCCAGGCCACTCAGACACAAAGGGGTTAACATTTTATACGCAATCTGAATTTAAGTAGTTAGTAGTTTCACGTGACCTGAATATTGCAGAATTCTCAAGGGGAAAGGGGGAAAAGTTTGTCATGGTTAGAATTTTAATATAAAATAACTTGATTCCATCAATATAATTCCTTCAAAGCAGCTTTTACAGCAACATATGAACATCTGCTACCCCAGATGGCTGTTTTA